ATAATAGTTTTGGTTTTAATCATATTTACAATAAAGTTTTGTACTGAGTTATAATTGCTTTAAAAGTTGTAAACATAATTATAATTGTAATTAAAGTTCTAGAACTACATATGTAATTAAATTTAAATTAATTGGATGTTAAGGATCCGTTTGATTGCAATGGTGGAACATGGGTGGAAAGAAATCGAATTTCAGGGAAAGTAATTGTTTAGAAATTGTTTTGCAGTGAATTGTTAATGAAGTATGTTTGATTGGTATAATTTTCCACCCGAATTTTTTTTAAAATTTTGAATCTTTTTGTGTTCTTTTGGCTTTATTTTACATGAAAATTGTCCATTAAAATGATAATTTTTTCTACAATTTGTTATAAAATTTGTTTCCATTGCCAAAAAGTAAAAAATAAAAAAAATTATTTCCTACAAAATCATTTTTTTATCAAAGTTTAGTGTTCACTTGATTTGATTTTACATGAAAATTGTCCATTAAAGTAAAAAAAAAATTTACAATTGGTTATGAAATTTGTTCCAATTACCATAAAAAAAAAAACCTGGAACTTCATTTCTCACCAAAAAGGTGGGAAAAACAATTCAACAAATTGGTGGAAAACAGGCGCGTGAGCTGGTGGTGTGGAAAACAAAAAGCCAAGAAAATTGTTGGCATCAAACACTACAAATTGAGGAAAATGGAAAACTAATTCCATTTTCCATGGAATTTTTGGTGTCAAAACACAACGTAATTAAAACTCCTACATGAATTTTAATTAAGACTCTAATCTAAATGCGGAATTATCATTGTACAAGGATTTGAGCTATTATACCTCTATAAACAGAGATTAGATGGAACCTAGACATCCTACACAACAACAGAACAATCATAATACATAATTCCATAGTGTTCAAATTGGAGAGAGAAAAATAAAGAGAAAAAATTATTTTCTTCTTTATTTAATTATCTAGTCCAAGAATTAGTTTCATATGTTGTCCCATAAAATTAAAATGAACAAATATTGTGAAATATTTTAATCAGTACTGAAATGGGAAAAACTCGAAAGCTGATAAAAGGATTAATAACAAAAAATAGAGATTCTAATCTGCTAGCTCCTGTAAGTAATCAATTTTTAAATCAAATAAAAAATTCGAGCATTCATTTTTAAATACAGAGAGTCATGTGAAGAGGATGACACCAAAACCCTCATGGCTAAATAAACAAGGCAATTTGATACCTGAGCTGCATCGGATATCAAGAGCAGCACCAAATCACTGCTAGAGATCGTGTCCCCAATATGTCCCTCAAGGTTCCATTTTCTTCGGATAACAGCAGCACGAGCCTCAGTAAATGAGTGAGA